TGTAACATTCAATGTGAATATTACAACCCGTCAAACAGGCCGGGCCGGGCCCGCCCGGGTTTCGGCAACGCATGGGGCGAGGCTAATTTTACACTCCTTAATGTGCATGTAAACACAATCGTCAATATTCACATTGTCACGGGTCGGGCCAAGCTGCCTCTGGCTGCGGTCGGGCTTCGGGTTGCCACAGGCTGCGCGCCAATATATCACCTTATCATGAATGTTACATTGTCAATGTGAATATTCACATTGTCAACGGGCTGGGCCGAGCCCCCCTGGCCCGGGGGGCTTTTGGCCATCCATTGGCCGCGGGCCAATTTATACTCTTTCATATGTGAATGTTCAACAATGTCGAATGATTCACTTTGTCCAACGGGCCGGACCAGGCATCCGCCAACATGCCACCCCGCGGGCGGGTTTTCTCGCCGCACGTCGGACGGTGGGCCCAATTTTAAACACTCCTATTAATTGTGGTAATGTAACATGTCAATGTGAACATCACATGTCAACAGGGGGCGCGCCAAATGGGGCCGTGGGCGGGTTTTCGAGCATTACGAGGCGCGGGCTATCATTTACACTCCTATCATTAAGAATATCTCCATCTGTGAATATTCACACTGGCAACGGGCAGGGCCCGGGCCCGCCCCGAGCTGTGGGCCGGGCTTCTTGGCTGCCCATGCGCCGCGGACCCATTTATACTTTTATACAAATGCTGAATGTTAATGAGTCAATGTGAATATTCACATTGTCAACGGGCCGGACCCGGGCCCGCGCCCGGGCCGCGCCGTCGGCCGCGGGCGGGTTTCGCGCAGCCACGACGGGGGCCAATTTTACACTACCTATCAATCAGTTGAAATTTGTAACCATGTCAATGTGAATATTTCCAACTTGTCAACGGGCCGGCCCGCCCTGGCTCGCGCGGAGCGGGTTGGACACCCACGGCGCAATTTACATTCCTAACAAATGTTGAATTAAAAAAGAATGTTCCATTAAATCACACAACTAACCCGTATAAAAAAAATTTATTAAAGGTATCAAAATTAAATATAAGGCATTAAGGTCCAAGAAATAGTAGTAAAATCAAAGAAAATAGACTTTAACTGGAATAAAACCTATACATACATGGGAACTAAATGGGTTTAAAAAATTCCTTCATGGACTTCTTGGGTTAAAACACTTCTAAATTGGACTTCAATAAAAAATCCCAAAAGACGAAAACGTAAAGTGTTACCAAAACGGCATATTCATGTTCCATGTACAATCTGTCATAGTTGATCATGTTTTTTGGTTGAACATTGCCATTTTGGTCATATTTGGGAAGACTTGAGTCAACGAATGCATACAAGTCATGACATGATTAATTTAAGTTTTCAAAGTTGAATTATGCACAAATTGCATGCCTTTGGGCCATGATTTCTTTGTTTATGATGCTTTAAAACATTTTTATGAGTCTTCATGATTTTCTCAAGTTTTGGCCCAGAAAAATCAAGTTTAATGCATTAAGTTGCAGTTTTGAGGCTTGAGGATTCATCTGGGAAAATTTCTAGATTTTGATCCACGCTCGAAGCGGGGAACTTCACGCATCGAGCGATGCACTCTGAGTACTTGCACTTCCTCCGAGCAACGATGTTTGACGCTTCGACGCGTAAAATGCATTATACCTTGGAAGTTTTTGTGTTTTACAGTCCGCTACGAGCGAGGGGAATCTACGCTCGAGCGAGGGTCTGAGTCTCACGCTCGAGGCGTCCGTCGAGCATGAAAATCATGCATCCGTACTTTTTCAAGAGTTACAGTCGCTCGAGCGAAGAAAAGTCACGCTGGAGCGGGGCTTCATTGGCTTGCATGTACGCCGAGCGTGGACCTAATTTTCAGCAAATTTTCAGAAAATGCTTTCCAATGCATTTCTTGATCCTCATTCCTTTATCCTAGGACATTCCTAAGCCATGGTTAAGGCTCCATAATGAGGATTTAAAGGTTTAGAAAACACACTAAGAGCAAACGAATTAAGTTATGACAATTCGGACGTGTGTTTCAAGTGTGTATCTGTTATGTTCATGTAGGTCACGTGCCGCATATCGTTTGACCAATCTGCTCCGTCTGTCTCTCTCAAGGCTAACTGTGAGTAATAACTTAGTAAAGTTATGTTCAACTGTATTTATTTTTTCGTGTGATAAAATAAGATCTGTTTTTCTGATATGCTATATTCTTGTACAAAATGAATGATTGTCCAAATTTCTGATATGGTAATTGTTGACATCCTTAGCATCAGTTGTGAAATATGTTGGCTGTTACCCGTATCGGAGGTTTCCATCATGAAAACTTAATCTGTCTGCACTCTGTTACCCATACCGGAGGCTCCATCATGGGCTCAGGCATATTTATTCTCTGTTACCCGGATTCGGAGGTCCTTTATGGGACTGGTTATTCGTTAACCCTCACGTGTCTGCATCTGTTCTGTTTCATGCTCTGTAATGCTAAATGGGATGTATCACGTTTTTAATTAAAAACATTTTTTACCACCCTTTGAAACCTTTATTGGGGAAATTTTTTTTTTTTTTTCCTGTATAAATTTGAAAATTTTGGGGGACCCCAAATTTTATGAATTTTATATGAATGAATTATGTATTCCTGAATCTGTGCGGACTCATTCATTTGAAACCCTTTTATCCTGTTATTGGTTCATTAGCTTTCGCTCACAGTTTTATATTAATGGTATGTTGGTGAGCCGGGCGGATCAGGGCCAGAGTTGAGGGCCTTCATTCTGGTTTTTGTCAGCAACCGTTGCTGCCTACCCGAGGAACGATTCCAATTGAAGTCTAAGTTATACGGCTACTTTTGTACTTACGTTAGTCTCTGTCTTGTTTTGTACGTTTGGGCGTCTTGGATAGTACAACTTTTGTAAATGTTGTTAATTATGTTAAACTGTCGTCATGCCTTATATGTATATAAGTTTGAAAATTTTTCTGTCCCATGTTTATCGACACAGCTCATTGGACTTATTTATGTTTTGTACATCTGCTTCCGCAAGCCCCTTATTATAGCTTATGCTGTTAAAGAGGCCTTTTGGTAATTCACCGGATTTACTGGCCGGTTACGATGCTTAAAGCTACATGGGCAGTCTGGGGTCGTGACGAGGTTTACCTGGCCTAAGCTGAGGGTAATTAGACGAGCTACATCAGCTTCCGTATCTCGGTCTGATATGCGACCCCAATTTCAAAAAGAAGCCTCTTCCTTTAGGCTCGACGGGGGGGGGGAGGGGCCCCATTTATTTTATAAATTACCCTCTCAATTTTATTAGTCCTTCTATCAACAAAAAGAAATCAATAAGCCCACCATCTCAAAATGAATTTTTTTTTTTGTGATTTTAGGGGTACCACGTTGACCATGTTTTTAACTAATCACAAATTTCATGTTTCTTTTGTTTTTTTTAATTTATTCCAAATAAAATTGTAAAGTCTCACACAATCACAACATACTTGAGACATCACGTTGATGATATCCCCAAAACCATTAAATAGCCTTCTCTAATTTCAACAAATCGTCAATATTGATACCCTTCCATAGTTCTTCCATCGTCAACCGAAATTAATCAAACCACCATCTCAATCAATTATATTTAATTTGGCTGACACCAAGATTGGCGGCCTTGAGTACCAACATAACTTCTAAAGAGAGTGACGGGCTGTGAGTAAAACGAACCCCAACGAATCCAGGGTCGCAAGTCCTATGTACTAGCTCGTGTTCGTTGCCACACAACAACAAAAGATGCTTTAAATTGTCTTTAAAATATAAAAACATCAGGGAAATGAGTATTATTATTTCCGCCGTTTAAAAAAAATTATATTATTTAGACTCAATAATAATATTTGAAAAGGAATGTATTAAGTTAATAATTAAATATTATCTAATTATTAACTAATTAGTTCTTAATAATCACTAAATTTAAAAAAATAATCTAAAAAAAATAAATTTATTATCATTTCCTAAAAAAAAAAAATGATTTTGGCACGAGAGTGCTTTCCATTGTGGCTAAAAGTTGCCAATCCGTGTTTTTTCTTGTTTCTTGTTGCCTTACCTTCATTCTTTCATATTTGGTCACGATTGCACCCATTACTTTATATTTCAATTTATTTAAGAATATTCTCGTATTATAGTCAAGATGGACCTAGAGAGATAAGAGAGGACAATTCACTCTCCTATGAATTTAAAAAAATCTATTTATTATAATAGTATTAGGTATAATTATTACCAAATTATAAAGGCGTTGTCTCCTAAAGTTTTTAGTCTTTTTACAAA